AGGCGGCTGCGGCAGCGTCCGCCGGAGCGCGGGGGGCTCGGCGGAGTGGGGCGCTCCGTGCTGCCCTTCGGGGGAGGGGAGGGGAGGGGAGGGTCTTCAGGCCTGCCTGGAAGGATTTTGAATTACCAAGCGGGGGAGTCGCCGGGCAGCTGCTGTTTGTGGGGAGCGTTCTGCGAAGGCTTAATGCCATTCTGGAAGTGATCAGGGAATTTTTAGCATGCCCCTTGCTGTGAAGGCAAAGTTCTAAAAGCCCTTGTGGAAAAGCGTCATCCAAGTATGCAAGCTTTCTTGTGGAGCCTGCAGCCTTTGCAGGCATTTGCATGTGCATGCAAATAGCGATATATTTTAAATCGGTTAATATCTCTTTCACTGAAAGAACGAGCTAGGAAAAAAAGGCGGATTATTGTGTTGTGTAGAACATGAACCGTTAACGACTGTGTGTAGTTCAGGAGGTATTTACAGCGTATGCTACTGTTTCTGGGGTGGAACTTCTTTACCAATTTGAGACACTCTTCCTTACAGAATTTAAATGAATATGTAGCTGCATTAATTGCGCTGAAGCAAAAAATGATTGATGGAGAGTAAGTACAATTGCACAAGTGTAACTTTGTATTGCTCTTTAGATATTTAAAGGAATATAGCAAATATGACTCTATGGAAAGCAGATATTCATCAATGCAAAAAACTAAATCCTCCTCAAAATAATATAACTTCTCCAGGAATAGTTCCTAAATCTGGATTGTAAGGCCTGTTTGTTTATGCCCTAAAATGTGTTTATGTAATGGTAGTAAAAACAGAGACGTTCTGTGTAGCTGTATAATTTGATTATATGTTTAGCAGAATAAGTTCTTTGAAGAGTTTTGTTTCTTTTTATTTGTCATGAAGAATAAAAGTTGATCACAGGCATAAACAAACCTTTTCAAGAAAACGTAGTGTTAGCGTTAATGTGCGAAATGCTGCTGGCGTTAAATATCAGCATGTGCAAACGTGAGGCTGAGCAATGATCAGAACAGTGGTGTTTTAAAGTGCTCCTGATAGTTTGCTTTCTCATCTGTGATAGCTTGCCCTTCCTCTTCTCAAGTACCATCGATGTATGGTTGTCTGGAGAAATGTTTCTGGTGTGTGTGTATACCTCCATACTGTGACCTGATGTCCTTGCCACCTCTCCCAATTGTAATGGTTTATTTCTCGTGTACTCCTTCCCAGATACATGTTAATCTGGCTTTAGCTAGTCTAAATTCTGGTCCTACGTTCCAGTTTGCAGAAGGGATTTGAAATAGCCCTCGCTATCTAGCTGAGACCCTTTTCCTCAAAGCTCCTTCGCTCTGTGGATCCTTCTGATGCCTTCAAACTTTGTGCCCCTCTTATCCCTGCCAAGGCACACGTTTCCTGTGGGAATTGCCTCTCCTCTAGATACTTGCAGCTCAGCTGCTCTCTCGTTTGCGAAAGTTAAGCCCTTGCAAGAGCAAGTAATGCAGCCCCTGCCCTCTTTATATTGCAGTAAGTGCCATGATCCTTCTTTTTCTTGTCCTTTCTTCTTTCCGTTCTTCAAAAACATAAAACGTGAGCAAAGGAGAGCACCTTCCTTGGTGTTGTCCCTTGTCCCCCTATACACCTTACATAAGAACAAATGCTATACTCTTCTTATAGCTGCTAGCACTATGGTGTTCAATAGCTTTCTCAAGGTTTATTTTAAACATTTTCTTCTACTAATGTATGTTCTTTCCTAGGAAAGCATTCTGTTAAGTTTGGGGACTTGGGTGTACTGTGGTGATGATGTGTGTACGTGTGTATGTATTATATATACAGGGCATAAATACAGCAATGGGATACACAGGCACACTTTACCTGAATAGTTTGCTTAAAAAGGCTACAAATAGTTAATGGCTAGAAATTCATGAAATTGCCGGATTGTTTTTTCTCATTTCAAAAAGGTCTGATTTGAGGCTGGAGTGGTTTAATGAAGCAAAATAGTTATATTGATTTGTATCAGCAAGTGCAAACCAGTCTCATGCCTTCTGCATTTATCTGTAAAGCAAAAGGAAAGATATCTTAAGACGTAATTGTCTAAATCGGCTGAGAAAATGAATACTACAACTGACTTTTATGAGTAATGTCTTTATTTTCTTTCTTGCAGTCGTTTGCTGACAGAGTATCAACAGAAATGCACTGATATCCTTTGTTTTTTCTATTAGTATTTGTATGTGCAATTTTGATATGTTAATTATATAAGAGGACTTGAACTTTTTTTTTTTGATTTAAGTTAAGAGATGATGCCTCTCTGTAGTAATGAACAGACTGAATAGACTTGCAAAGGCTTTACAGAAAATGAGGCTTTGAAATTGTTTAATACGCTCAAGATCTCTCTGTGTCTAATATATGGCTTAATACGGACTATTTTAAAGTTATGTCGTTGAGAATGACTCAAGTTTTGTCTTGTATCAGAAGACCCTCTAATGTTATTTTAGAGCCTCTGCTTATTCACTTCAAACATACAGAAATGTTTCTCTAATATATTTTGTCTTTTGGAGGGAATTCATGATTTCATGTTTCTTTGCAAGTGGTGATTGGATTCAAACATCCTTAAGGAAAATATAGTAAACCATTTTACTAGTGCGTTTCTACCTTAACAAGACATTACAGCTTCAGTTTGCTGAAAGGTAAGAAAGAATACAGTCCTATTTAAACCAAGCTGTTTACTTAAATCTACTGTATTCCCTGCATCTTAGATGGTTTTAGGAGTCTGTCACTGTAATAGCAGCTGCCCTGGTTCTATGTTAAGCTTTACATCTGATCATTTTCTTCAAGCATTTCTAGGCCATAATTTGAAAGATATCCTTGTTGAGGAGAGAAATATGGGGGAACAGAGAGGGGTAGAGTCAGACTGTCTAGCCTTCTTCCACAGTACTTGTGCTAATATCTTTTCCTGGCCTTGTGCTGCGTGAGAGTATAAAAGTGACCGAGTAGAAGTGTGGAGCTCATCTTCTGGTGTCTTTCACATGTAAAGGTGCTTGGGGCAGCCCTGTTTTTCTGATGCGTTTTGACTTGGAGTTTGTGGCAGGGTCTCCTTACCTTACCTGATTACATAGGAGGAGGCAGTATGTCATCTTTACAGACTCTGTCCTGCCTGCTGAAAATTCCCGCAGTTGGACTCTGCTCTTGTTTCACAGCACTACTTATTCCTGTCACCTCAATGTAGGCAGCTGGGAGGTGCTACTGTGTGACATGTGTAGCCTACCTGCATCCAACTTTATGCTTCATTTAATGTTTTTGAATCAGACCTTCAATTTTCTTTGAGTATAAAAGATTATATGGGAAATTTAGATCACTTAGTAATAAAGACTTTTGGAAAAATGCTCTGCCAGATATCCGTCAGGGACAGGAAAATTCTCGGACAGTTGCCTGAAGAATCAGAGCACTGCGTTTAGGCTTTAAAACACGTGTGTGGTGGTGTGTGTTTTTGTTTTGTTTTTTTAAATTACATTTCCCATTTCAGGGAGATCTCTGCTCTTCGTTGCCAAGTGGAGCAGATGATACAGAAAATCCTGCCTCTGGAGAAGTGTCAGGAAGAGTTGGGTTCTTTGAAAGCAGAGTTGGAAGAGAAAAAGGTGTGCTCTTAAGATTTAAACAACTTGCACTTTTTCTGCTGAAGGAAGTGTGTGTATTTAATTCTCATCTTAATGATTCTGGCTGTTATTTCCAGCTCTTTGAGACAGGCAGCTCTGGCTTTAGGTTAATTTAATTAAGCAGCAGTGAGGTCCAGATAGGGAGAAAGGTGCTGACCTTTGTAGTTTCTGTGACTTGTGATCAAATTTTATTTTCTGTTATTTAGGGAGGAAGCAGAAGCTTTTATTTTCCAACTCCTTTAGGTTTCCATTCCAATCTTATTAGGTTATTGAATTCTCCATAACCTATCGTAATAAAAAACGAGCAAAAAGGATCTGTCCAGAATTGTTTTGCTTCTGTTACCATTTTGAATGCATAGTTTTGTTTTCAGCTCCCTGAGTTTATCCCTAATTTCCCTCCCCACCCATTAGCTGAGATTTAGTCTTCTGTAGAAGAGAAGCTTTTGATACTTCAAATCCCCCAGATACAGACACTAATTATTACTTAAAGCAAGGGAAGAGAAAAACCCCAAACCCCTCACTCTTGTAACTTTTAAATCTCTGTATAAGGTAAAGAGTTAACATTTGTCCTGTCGCTATGCCTAATTTCTCTTCTATGTTAGTAGTGGTTTTTTATCTTTAAATCCTCTCCTCTTGGCAAGCGTTTTTAGTGGATGTCCTAATGGCATCTGTTCAGAAAAATCAGGGTTATACGTATAGTTGTGTATAATAGTTGTGCTCTTGACTTCGACCTGAGTTCCTGTCCAAGTAAGTGATGGAGGCACAAACTCCAGAGATCCGTTGTTGCTGTAGTCGTAACTTGTGCCTTTATAGACCAAATATAATCTGACTCTTCAACTCGCTTGTTTTCTCAGTGAATGTATCATTTGACTATCCAGCTATTTCCATTAGAACTGTCTGCCATCTATTTTCTGCCTTCTGTAAGGACATGTTTTAACTGTGCTTTCTTTCTTTGTAGAGTTCTCTCAAGATTTATCAAGAGAGTCAACTGGAGTATGTTAGGATTAAAGAAGAAATAGTAAAAAGTGATGCTGCGTGAGTGATAATTTTTTTTCTTTTTGTCACCTTCTTTATTTCCCTAATTTACCTTACAGAACTTGTTCCTGTGCCTTGCTAGTTGTGCTTCCCATTTTGCTGAAACTTTTACGCTTGTGATTTATTTGTTTTATTTTATTTTATTTTTTTTTTGGAGCACAGAATTGATGGGAGAATTGTCTAACCTTTTGTAGCAAGCTTTCTGAAAGGCTGTATTAGATTAATTAGTATTCTATCTCGAGGTGGCTAATGAAGAGTATTTAGTGAAGGGTTTAAAGACTAGGATGAGATTGGAGAAGAAGCTGTAGCTTATCCATGTACTGCTTACGTCGTTCTTAGTCTTGGCTTTCTGTTACTGCCCTTCTTTTCAGTTGTGCTGGTTGGTCTTTGAGGCTGGTATATAGTGATACTGCTAAAGTAACCTGCATTAAAAAATATTTTTTATTGAAGGGTTTTAAGGAAGCAGCTGAGCAGGTACTGCGTTATCCACCGTGTTTGAAAATGAGCAGGAGGGATTTGACATCAAGAACACAGAAGCCATTTTTGCTTGCATTGTGCAGAGTGTTGTCAAATTGTGCCTTGATAATTCCCCACGTGTGTTCTTTCAGTAACCAGTTGCTCTAGGGCTTCCTTAGCTGGAGGAAATGCCAGTGTTGTTTTATAGCTCTTGATCAACTCTTAATGCTTTTGTCTAATTGCTTTTTAGCCCTGCTGTGCCTCTAGCCTCTAAGTCACTTGTGACAGGGAATTTTGACTTCTTAGTGTTGTGTAGAAAAGTACTTTAAATCTCCAAGTGGAACCATCTAATGTACAGCCAAGTGGTATGAGTTCATATTTGTGGTTATATTCCTCCATGTGCATTTATCAAGACTGACGTTTGCTCTCTAGTTGCTCAGAATTCTAAGATCCTTCAAGATCATCCTTCTTTTTTTTTTTTTCCTTTTGTAGTCAGCTTTTAGTTCTCATGTGTTCCGGTACACATCCCAGTGGGACTCCACTAGTGAGTCATTTCTTCCTTGTACACTGGCTATTGTGTTTACCTTTGGCTTTCCTATGATATAGCTAGTTCACATACCTTTGGTTTTGGGGGCATTTTAAGCAGTAGGTCATACAAGATTAGTAATTTCAGAGTTGAGTTTCTTCAGAAGCAGAATTCTAGTGAGTCATTCATAAACTGAATATTAATTTACAACTATTAAATTGTAGAAGGACCTCTGAAGATCCTTTGATCCACTCTGCTGCTCCCTCAGAGTCAGCTTTAGAGTTAGGTTACTTTGGGCATTGTCTAATTGAGTTTGGCAATTCCCTGACCTTTCTGAGCTTAAAAGCAGTGTGAAACTTCAGACAAATCCTCCAGCATGTCCACTGTGAAGAAGGTTTTAGATGTGAAATCTTTCAAAACTCCTCTGTAAGAGTGGAGTACTCAAAACTTAAGACTGTTTCAGAACTAAGTTTGCTCATTTTAATTAGAAGGTCACATTCTCTGTAAGGATGATGTAAATATGACAGAAAGTTGTTTGCGGTTGTTTTTGTAATACTCAAATGTTAGAGGGGAAAAATACAAACGTGGTTTTTATAGCTTGGTTATATTATAGCACTGTATTAATTCTGCTTCCGAATGCAGCTCTGTCAGCTGAAGTCCTGTATACATCTTGGAAGATCAGCTAGGAGCTTGTTTGCTTAATCTAAATAGTGATAGATAATCATAGCTAAGGTTATGTGAGAATTCTTAATTTAGGTATGATTAGATGTAATTTGCTTCTTTGGAAAGAGTTTGAGCTGCAGAGCATAAGAGTTGTGTCCAAATGCATCATCTGCAAGCCTTGCTTTCTCAAATAATTTAATGTCTTCCTATTTTGTTTCTTTCTTAATGTAATTGCATGCCACTGCACCTATGAAAGTAACTCTGTTCTGCAAATATCATTGCAATGATAAATGGAGGCATTTTAGTGGCTATCTGTAGTTATTCAAGTTCTTTGCTATTTATAAATGCATGGGGAGTAAGTGATCCTGAATGCTGTTCCTGATATCTTATTGCTGTAAAGATTGTAAACAGGACTTTTTTTTTTTTTTTAAAGGAGCAAGGCTAGCCTTCCTGTGTTTCTTTATAGAAATGCAAAAAACGGTTGACAGTTTTCACAGGATGTACTTGTAGCAATAAGTAAGGTAGCTGAAGGTATATTCCTGTACCTAGATTGGTGGTCTGACTTTCTTAATTGAAGAGCAAGCTTTCCATCTGTAGCAGATACAGATGTTGCTGTGAGAACGTCGGCAGCATGTCACTGAGTTAAGTTTTCAACTTGAGGGCCACACTGGCATTACATAACACACCTAACAGAACCAAGACCTATTTACTCCAGAATTGTTGTATTTGTTTTCTAGTGTTTTTTTTTTTTTTTTTGGTACAACATAACTGTATACAAACAATGATGTATTAATCTCTTCTTTTTGAACAGGAGAAAGAAACTGGAAGCAAAAGTGAAGAAACTGGAAGGTAACTCTCTATACTGTGTTAACAGTGCTGTTGTCTGTCTCTTGGTTCTTTTGTTATCCAAAGAATAACTGTGAAAGTTAAAAGTTGTCTAGATTTTACTTGAGAACTCTGAGGGTCCTGGGAGCAAGGCAAGCCAGTACCCTATGTTGTGCAAAATCTCTGAATTATTCCTGCAAAATCTTGTGAGTTGAGTATCTTAGGCTTATAGTATAAATCAAGTTGGAATGGACCTCAGGAGGTCATCCAGTCTGACCTTCCCCTCAAAGGAGGGTCAGCTATGAGATCAGACCAGGTTATTCAGGGCTTTATCCAGTTGGGTCTTGAAAGCACCCAAAAATGGAGGCTGCCCAACTCTCTGGGCAACCTGGTCCGCTGCTTGACTGTCCTCATGGTGGAAAAAGTTTTTCCTTATACTCCTTATAGCTGGTTGGAACCTGTCATTTCAGCTTATGCTCGTTGTCTCTCATCCTCCCACCATGCACAGCCTGGCTCTGTCGTCTTGATTGTATCCTGTTAGGAGGGCCTGAGAAGAGGTCCCCTCCCTTAAGCTAGTCAAGTCCAGTTCCACCAGCCTCACTTCACAGGGCATGCGCTCCAGCATCCTAACCATCTTGGTAGCATTCTTCTAGCCATGTTTATATTCATTTTTAAATATGTAATGATGCTGATGCATGTTTCCTGTTTCCTGATGCATGTTTCCTTATTTATTTATTTTTATTTGTTTAAAAATTCTAGGAGTAGATTTCTTTTTCTGTTAAGTAAAGATAAGTAAAGACTTTTTTTTTTTTTTTTTGCTTGCAGAAGGTGGACATGCATAAAAGTATTCTGATACTTACCTTGCTATATTGTTAGTTGGCAAGGTGAGCATTTTCCTGCATGGCACTTTTGGCTACAGCTGTGCTTTCCACGATTTAAAGTATTTCCACAGACATTAGAACAATGAATTGCTATTGACTGGCCACAGCGAACTGACTGACTTGTATCTTAATGTTAGAACCCCCTAAAATCATACTGTAAAGTACAAGATGCTTCTGTTGACGAGAATTTTGTAGTTCCATTACATGGCAGCGAGATTTTTATAGCCTCTTACACCCAAACTTAAACATTCTGGCAGAACCAGAACAAAATACTGTGAGTTAGTTTGCGTTATGTCAAGTTTGAGAGACTAGTTTCTCTTTTGTGCTTCTCTGTATTCAATAAATATCCTAGAACTCATATTTTATCTTGATATCTATGTCAGTCCTAAAATTTTCCCTTGATTACTTTTTGTCAACCTACCACCTGAGGTCTCTGACCTGAGCTGAGCTGACCTGACCTCACCTTTTCAGCAGACAAGTTCTCTCTGTCTCTTTCCTCTGCCCTTTGCGTATGAGTCACCACGCTGATCTTTCAGAAGCTCTCTCTGGCTTGTGAATTTTCCCAGGAATCTCACATTCAATTCCCAGTTATCTGCCATGTCCTGCATAAGTTCTCTTTCTTTCCATCTGCTTGCCCTCTTCCATGATGTCTCTGTAAGGCACTGAGAGACATGGTACTGTTTTCTCTCTCCCTCCCTCTCTCTCTCCCTCCCTCTCTCTCTCCCTCCCTCTCTCTCTCCCTCCCTTCGGGAAGGCCGAGGGGGGCTTCGAGTGGCTTTTGAGGAGGGTGAGGGGCCTCAGAG